CAATGTAACTCATCACAAAATAAAAAACAATATGATTATCTCAATAGATGAAAAAAAATTAACAAAATCCAACATTTATTTTTTATCAAAACTCTCAGCAAACTAAGAATTAGAAGGAAACTTCTTCAACCTGTTAAACATCACGTACAGAAAACTCACAGCTAACATCATACTTAATATGGCGAAAGACTGAATGAATTGCCCCTAAGATCAAGAATAAGACAAGGATGTCAACTTTCACTACTTCTATTCAACACTGTACAAGAGGTTCTATGCAGAAAATCTAACAAAAAAAGAAAAAAAGAGAAAGGAAGTAAGGAAGGGAGAAAGGGAGGGAGGAACGAAGGAAGGAAGGAAAGAAGGAAAAAAAGGAAGAAAGGGCAATCAGATTGGAAAGAAGTAAAACTAGCTTTATTTGCATATGACATGATCATCTATGTAGAAAATCTAACGGAATCTACAAAAAAGCTACTAGAACTAAGTGAATTTTGAAAGGTTGGGGGATATAAGATTAACATTTTAAAAAATCTATTTTATTTCTTTAGATTAGCAATGAGCAATCAGAAATGGAAATTTTTTAAAATCCCACTGTAGTATCAAAAATATGAAACACTTAGGGATAAATCTCACAAAAAATGTCAAAGACCTTTACATTAAAAACTACAAACTACTACTCAGAGAAATGAAAGAAAACCTAACTAAATGAAGAGCTGTATTTTGTTTATAGGTTGGAAGACTCAATAGCATTAAGATGTCAATTGTCTCCAAACTGATGTACAGGTCTTACACAATTCCAATAAATCCCAGCAAGCTTTTTAGCAGTATATGACAAAGTGATTCTGAAGTTCATATGGAAATGCAAAGGACGTAAAGAGCCAAAACAACTTTGGAAAAAAAACAAAGTTAGAAGGCTAACATGACTGGGTTACAAGACTTATCATAAAGCTACAGTAGTCAAGACAGTGTGGCACAGGCATCAAAACAAATAGATCAGTAGAACAGAACAGAGCCCCAGAAATAGCCCTACACATATATGGACAACTGATTTTTGACAAAGATGCAAATGCAGTGCAGTAGAGAAAGAATAACCTTTTCAAGAAATGGTGCAGTACAATTGAGTATCTATATGCAAAAAATTAACATTGATCCATACCTCGCACCATATACAAAGATTACCTCAAAATGGAACATATACCTAAATGTGAAAACCTGAAACTATAAAACTTCTAGAAGAAAATGTTTGCTAATTTGGGTTAGGCAAGTTTTCTTAGATATAACAGAAGCACAATCCACAAACTTCAACTGAACTTCATCAAAATTAAAAACTTTGGATCTCAGTGTCATTGGCCATCAGAGAGATGTAAATCAAAACCACAATGAGATACTATTTCACTCCCACTAAGATTGCTAAGATAAAATAATAATAAAATGGAAAACAGCAAATGTTGGCAAGGATGTGAGGAAATTAGAACCCTTACCCATTGATGGCAATGCAAAATATACAGCCTTTGTGGAAAACAGTGTGGTGCTTCCTCAAAAAACTAAAAATAGAACTACCATAACCCAAAAACCCATTGCTGTCAAGTCAACTCCAACTCATAGCAACCTGATAGGACAGAGCAGAACTGCCCCACAGAGTTTCCAGCGAAAGGCTGGTGGATTCGAACTGCTGATCGTTGGAGTATCAGCCAGGCTCTTAATCACTGTGCCACCGGGGATCCTCAGAACTACCATATGATCCAGCAATTCCACTCCTGGGTATATATCCAAAAGACATGATAGTAGAGATTCAGAAACTTGTACACCAATGTTCATTGCAGCACTGTTCACAATAGCTGAAAGGTGGAAACAACCTAAGGGCCCATCAACAGATGAATGGGTAAGTAAAATGTGGTGTATACATACAATGGAATATTACTCAGCCAGCAGAAGAAATGAAGTCTTGATACATGCTACAATATGGATGGAGCTGGAAGACATTATGCTGAGTGAACTAAGTCAATCACAAAAGGACAACTATTGTATGACCTCCCTTATACAAAAAGACAAGAAAAGACAAACAATATAGAGAACAAAGTTTATTAGTGGTCACCAGGGGTGGGGGGGGAGGGGGTAGTTAATGGTGATGGAAATATTGTGTTAAGGTAGGGTTGCACAGCCGATTATTGTAATTGCTGTCAATAAGCAGTGCACCTGTAAAAAGTCAGATCAGCAAAAGTTGTGTGATAAATATATTTACAATGACCAATTTAAAAAAAAAAAAAAAGAGTAGCTGCTGAGGGTGATTACATACAACTAAAAACCTCATGGGATTTGGTTTCTTGGTTTGGAGGTTCAGGGTCATAGTTTCATGGGACATCCCAGGTAATTGGCCTAATAACATGTTTAGTGCCTCTGTTCTACCTCCTAGTTCAATGCGTAGTGTCTTGGGTCTTAAAAGTTTGCAAACGGCCACGCAAGGCCCAATCGGTCTCTATTCACCTGGAACAACAGAGGAAGGAGACTCAGGAATAGGAAGAGGAAATGAAATGTGTGGCTAATTGCCTCCACGAACAACTGTCTCCTTTGCCATAAAACCAGAAGAACTCGATGGTGTCCGGCTACCATTACTGAACATTTTGATCAAAGATTTCATAGAAGAATCCTGATTCCAAGGGGGAAAATGCAGAACAGAATTTCAAATTCCCATGACTCCAGACTTCCCGGAGCCATGAAGACTGGATGAGTTCCTGAAACTATTGCCCTGAGATACTCCTTCAATCTTAAACCAAAAATAGCACCTGAAGTCTTCTTAAAACTAAACAATAGTTTAGCTTAACTAGTAACAAAATGTCTGCCTGGAGCACTATGCTCCTTTAAGAATTAACTATATGGGATCAAACTGACAACAGCAACTCGAAAGATCGGATAGGAACCTTAGACGGCAGTGCATTTATGTTAATGGATGAGGAACGACGAAAAGGAGAGTGAGCATGGTTACACAACTCAAAGAATGTAATCAATGTCACTAAATGGTACATGTAGGAACTATTGAATTGGTGTATGTTTTGCTGTGTATATTCTCAACAACAATAAAATTTTATTAAGAAAAAACTTTAGCTCTTCAAGGCAAGCCACAGACTAAAGGAACATATTTGCAAAATACGTATCTGATAAAAGACTTGTATACAAAATATACAGAGAACTCTTAAAACTCAACATAAGAAAACAAACAACCCAATTATAAAATGGGCAAAAAATCTAGACAGATACCTCACCAAATAAGATTTATAGATGGCAAATATGCATATAAAAAGATGCTCAATATTTGTCATTAGAGAGTTACAAGTTAAAACAACAATGAAATACCACTACCCATTTATTAGAACGGCTAAAACCCAAAAAACTGACAATACCAAATGTTGTCAAGGATGTGGAGCAACAGTAACTCTCATTCATTGCTGTTAGGAAGAGAGTTTCTTAAAAAGATAAACATAAACCTTCCATATGATTCAGCCATTCTACTTTATTTTCTTTTCAAAAGAAAAGCAAGCATATGTTTATACAAAGTTGTGTATAAGAACGTTCATAGCATTTTAAGTATGGCAACACCCAAAAACTTGAAACAACACAAACATCCATCAGTAGGTGAACAGAATAACAAAAAAGTGATACAACTCTACAATACTTCCCAATAAAAATGAATAAACTATTGATATATGCAAAAACATGGATGAAACTCAAAAAAATGATCGTGCTGAATGAAGCCAGACCAAAAAGAAGTACATACTGTGTGATTCCATTTATATAAAACTCTCAAAAATGCAAACTAATCTATAGAGGCAGAAAGCAGATCACTGGTTGCCTGGGGGGATTACAAAAGAGTAAGAGAAGATTTTCAGGAGTGATTGATAATGTTCGCTATCTTGATTGTGGTGATGCTTTCATGGGTGTATATGCCAAAACTTAAAAAAAATCACACATTAAATTTGTGAAGTTTATAGTATGCCAACTTTATTTCTATAAAGCTGTTAAAAATGATACCACAACTTGGCATCATTTTAAAAAAAAAACAATACCACATGGTGACATGGGGACTAAGTAGACGGATTTTTTTCCTTATCGAAATAGATATTACATGGGAAATTCAGGAGAGATCTCCAGAACAGTGCTACTCCAAGTGCTGATCTATAAACTTTTACCAGTGTGTGATGATACAGTAAAAGCTGCAAAAGTCAAAACCTGTGTAAGGTGGAAACTTGTCAAAGAAGGAAAACTCAAATATTTTCCACCAAAATGAGCAATAGAAAAGTGGTAAGACTGCACCCTGTCAAAGGCAGAGAAGTTGCAAGACCCAGAAGAACGAGGCAGTCCTGTTGAGTTCCAGCTCTCACAAGTTTCACTGTATAAGGAATTTGCACCAGAAGACAAATTATTTTATTAAACACACTGTTCAGTTCAGCTGATATTGTTTTCATAATAAAACTTTTTCCATGAAGGAAACAGTACATTAGTGAACATTCTGGCACAAGTTCCTTCTCTCACCACTGACTAGTAACAAACATTTCATTGACTGGCACTAGTCTGTGCAACACATTTTGAGTAGCACTGTCTCTATCACACTCAGATATTAACCTCTCTACGTCTATCCTCATCTGCATGATGAGAAGAGTAATAATTGTGCTGATCACTTCTAAGAATATTCTAATATTCTAATGAACTATAAAGGCCCCAGGGTGGTGCAAATGGTTAAGTGCTAGATTCATGGCTCAAATCCACTCAGCAGCTCCACAGAAGAAAGGCGTGGCAATCTGCTTCCATAAGATAACAGTCACTGAAAACCTCATGAAGTACAGTTTTACTCTGGAAACATGTGGGGTCCCCATGAGTTGGAATCAACTTGACAGCAATGAGTTTAATAAGCTATGAAACTTGCATATACCAGGTACCAAATAATTTACGTATTATTGATTATCGAGTGATGTGAAAATCATTTGAAAGAATAAAGCAACATACAAAAATAAAGCATGACATTATTTATTTGTTCAGAATGATTGTAAAGTTAATTGAAGTTAAAAATGGTTTGTTTTCCAATGAAGTTGTTAATATCCAAAATTGCTAAATTCAATATTAGAGTTTATAACAAAAATGGACCTATATATGGTCTTATCTGATATCTGATAGTAATATATATACTGTACAATAACATCTATTCTTTTTATCAGAACATACGCTCCTCATCAGACATAGAAATGTAGAAGTAACTGCTATTTTCATTTTTTTCCCTATGTTCTAGTAAAAGATTTTATTTTCTAGAATTCATACACACAGAATTGTTACACAAATTTAGAGTATTTTTTCTTGTTCATGTCTGAAGAGCTTCTTTCTCAAAGAAATTTTATATTTTATAATCTTTCCTTTGAAATATGAGAAAAATATGGAATCACCTGAGTTACATATATCCAGCTTACACGTTCTTTAAAAAAGTTATTTTTAAAAATACCACAAATAATTACATAGTACATGTCCTTGTTATTCACATACTTCTTTAAGCAATATTCAAGTACATTTGTGCTTTGTATGTTTACATTACATTAGAATCTATTTTTAGCTTTTATACTAAACTGTACATCTACAAAGATTTCTCAAATATTAAATAAATGAGGCAAAACAGTCATTATGAAAATATAAACCGCTACTAGAGTTTTCTCATCTTTACTTCATTTTTTATGTATTTGCTGTCAACCATGTAATTTCCTGTTTTTTAGGGAAGCTGATAAATTTTTATCTTTGTAATCTCAACACTGCTGCTTTCTCAGCGGGGCATAATACATCGCAGATTTTCTGAACACACAGTATTCACTCCACCGTATCAGTTGTAGCAGTGAAATTTAATAGCATTAGTATTCATCATTTCTAGTTATTTCAACTGCAGGACCACCTTAAAACAGAAATTGGGGGAAAAATTAGGTTCTATCAGATTGCTGCTGATATATCAGAATATGCTAAAACAAACGCCTTGAAATCGCTGGAGAACTAACAACAAGCAGATACAAAGCACGTGAACTGATAACACGTGCCTCCTAGGAGCTATGATTCAGAATCACTTAACGTTTATAGCAGGCTCTACCACACACCTGCTTCAGACATTCAGCCTCATCCAAAGCCAACGCAGGCTTGAACTACCCCTTTGGTTAGTGGGCATGTGGACCTGTCATGAAGACACCAAAATGTTTGGGCAACTGCAGAGTATGGAGAAAAGCTGAAAAACAGCAGGGTTTACAAAGAACACGACCATGAAGACTGATTAGTGGTAAGAGAGGTAAGTAAGAACAACTGACTGAGAAAATGCGAGGCACTAATGACAGAAACATACATACATAAAGAGAATTACTTTTATTTCTTCCTCGCAGAGCAGTTTCTGCTGTTTAAAAATTATTTTCCACATTTATTAAACACTAGGAGTGGTTCTTGTTATTCAGCCTCTCCTTTGACAATGTAAAGTTTTTCCAGTCATTCATTAGCTCTATCTAGTCTCAATGTGATTTTGTCATAATAACTACATGGCATATTTTATCTCCAGTAACTACAGATTTATAAAAGCAATTTTTTATTATTTGTCCAGTTAAAATAAGACATACTTTTCTTCAGGATTACAACCATTTTTTAACCATAAAAACTCGAGAATAAACTAATTTCACGGCCCCAGGGTAAAATTTTTATTTTTATCATCAATCACTGAAGAAAAACAAATCCAGCTGTTAGAATAGCGCTATTATTCTTTCAAAAAGAGCTACTTGATAAATTATGCTCAAAACCTAATAATTAACAATTGTAAGTTTTAATTAATTTAGTATCTAAAAGTAGAGATGCAGAACATATCAACAAAGTAGTTTTCTGTGGTTGACATTAAATATCAGGAAAACAAGAAATATTAAAAAGTGAACTATGAGCTTTTCTTATACTGCTCTAAGGGTTTCAAAACTGTAAAGTTCAAACCATACAACAAAATTAAAACAAATACCTTATTAGCTGCTTCCAAGGAATTTATTAGATTCTGCAGCTCTTCTTTACTCATTTCAACAGAATACGGTTTGACTTCACCATTTTCTTTTACATCTAGATGAAGGTTTAAAAGTGGCATTTGTAATGTAGCAATCTTGTCACTAGAAAGTGCAAGCTGTTTAAAATTAGGAAAATGGTAATTAATAAATAGTTAAAAAGGACTATACTAAATACGCATCAGAGCTTAGTAACATTAAAAAAAAAAGTATCCCTGTTTACTGTCAAGTACAAGGCAAGGTGGAAGAAATAAATTAAATCCATGCCCAAACAACACCTATTTGAGTGACAGAAAGAGAAAGAAGAATGAATACAAGAGGGAAAGTAGGTTAGGGGAAAAAGACATGAAGTCAGCAGTTTTATGGCAGAAGCAGGTACCTAGAGCAGAGCTATGGCTGGGAAATACTGAAAGGGACAAATGCAGCAAGAAGCAGAATTCTTAACCAAGGGTGAAGATGCCAAGAGGATGAAAGTCCATATACGAAGATAAATGAGACCAAAGCATCAGTAAATGCTCTGAAATTAAGATGCTTAATTCATGATCAGCTATCTACTAAACAGTTAATAAATATGTTATTAAGACACCATCTTCAATACAGTCACCCAACGAAAGTACTCAACACATTTACCTTACTTCCTAGTTTCTGTCTCCACTGAATATCTTAGGGGAAGTGGAAGAACCAAGTATTTACGGTACTAATACTTTTCGAAACAAGCTCTGTAGCTTCATTGGCAAATGCCAAAAAGAAACTCAATTTTCTTGGAATCTGAGCCAGAAAACTCCACAACTGAATCCTTATTTGGACTACCACCACTTGCAAAAATTACTCGTGTATTAATAAGGGGCTTCATCCCTAACAACCAACCTCAAAGGATTCTCCTTGTGGTACATATACTATAGAATCAAATCCTAACATATTTACATCTATTGATCCCATTTCATCTGGAGCAAACAAGAATGAAGAAAACCAAAGACACAAGGAAAATATGAGCCCAAAGGGCTAAAGGACCATATGAGCCAGAGACTCCACCAGCCTGAGACCAGAAGAACTAGATGGTGCCTAGCTACCACCAACGACTGCTCTGACAGGGATCACAACAACTACAGCCCCTGGACACTCTGCTAACCTAGAACTGAAACCATTCCTGAAGCTCACTTTTCAGACAAAGATTAGACAGGCTTATAAAACAAAAAATAACATGTGAGGAATGTGCTTCTTAGTTCAATCTAATAAACATGACCAAATGGGCAATTCTTATCCAAAAGCAAGATGAGAAGGTAGGAAGGGACAGCAACTGGATGAATGGGCACAGGGAACCCAGGGTAGAAAAAGGGAGCATGCTGTCATATTGTGGGGATTGCAACCAATGTCACAAAACAATATGTGTATAAATTTTTGAATGAGAAATTAACTTGAGCTGTAAACTTTCACCTAAAGCACACACAAAAAAAGAAGCAGTCCACATATATCTCCGCCATTCTCTCACCAAACAAAGGACTTATAGTATCTGAGATTTGAAAGTATCACCTTCAGGTTGTCTACCTTATGAATAATTCTCCTCCCAAAATTTCCAATACACCTACTCCTCAGTTATCAACTGTCTCATTATCCAACATTTCACATTTATGACAGTAGTAAAAAATCTACTATCTGACTATTTTGCGCATTAACGATGCACGTCTGGCAGTAATGAACGCTGAGGTGCAAGTTGAGAGTAACGCTGGCTGTGATGGTAAAGGTTATATCAACCTGGCTGGGCCATGATTCTCAGTGGTTTGGCAGTTACATAATGATGTAATTTGGCAGTTATGTAATGATATAGTCATCCTCTATTTTGTGATCTGATGTAGTCACCTTCCATTTTTGCATAATGCCAATTTTCACACAACGACCTGGTCTCTGGAACGTAACCATGTTGATAAGCGAGGAGTGGGTGTAAGTGGCTTCTCAGCCTACGCTTGAATACCACCTATGATGAGTAACATGCTACCTCAAGAGGATAAAATAATTTTCAGATACTCAGAGTTGTTAAAAAGTTCTTCCCTGTGTTGAATTCAAATCCATCTTATTGCAAATAACGTATCTTAGCCCTTCTCCTAGTCTCTGTAGCCATACAGAATATATTTCCCCATCCATGTGACTTCTAGTCCTTTAAAGATAACTATCACATTTCTACTAGGTTTTCTCACGTAAAATGATCTCACATCTTTCAAAGTAACTTCATGTATCATGATTTTAACATCTTGGTTACTCCTTTCTGGTTGGGTTCTAATTTCTTTCAATATCTCTTAAGTTTGGCAGCCAAAAGTAAAAAAGATTATTAAACTAACTAAAAAGGATTAATGGTAAAAACAAAATATACTAGAACTACCCTTTCCTTGAAATACTACATTTCTACCAACAAAACCCAATACAGGTAGTCCCCGACTTACGATGTATTCAAGTTACAATGAACCACATTTACGACCAGCAGTATACCTGGAACATTGCATCTTCCTGGGAGGAAGTTACGGGAAAATGTATGCAAGGGATATGAAAAAAACTGCTGAGTTATGTGAACACGCTCCAAGCATTTGATCAAGATAAAATGATGGAACAGATCAGTGGAAAAATTGTTCATATGGCAAAAATGCTGAATTTAGACCTTGATGTTGCCAACGTGGAATAGCTCATAGATCGCGAAGGAGAATTGACAGATAAGGACTTAAAGGATTTTGAAAAGGAAAGAAATGCTGAAGAAGAAATAACAAGGAAGAGGAAGGAGAGAAATTGTCAAAAAATTTTACAGTGAAAGGATTAGCTGTAGTTTGTTCTAAACTAAATCAGGACCTTTGACTGCTTGAAAACATGGACCCAAACACTGATCACTTTGCTAAAGTCATAAGCAGATTCAGAAAGCAGTGAGATGTTACCACAAAATATATGAAGAAAAAAATAAAAGGACCATACAGACAACTCACACTAATTTTCTGACTAGAAACATCATCCCCATTCCCAGGGATAATCCTGGTGATCCAGAACCTTCTACAACTGGAGTTATTACTGCAACTGACAAAATGCCAACATTGTCCAACTCTTCATCATTGCTGAAGTAAATTTTTATGATTTGTGTATTTCTTTATGTATATATTAAAATATATCAGTAGTTTATATGTAATGTGTCCAATCCCCAAAGATAAATAAAGATGGAATTTATAAAGACACTGATAATAAAAAGCAATAATTATGCAAACTAAAGAAAAAAAAAAGAGGTATTTGACTTACATCAGAACCAACTTACAACGGACTCCTTGGAGGCATGACCCCCTCATGAGCTGGGGACTACCTGTACTGAATCAACATACTGCTGACTCAAGCTGCACTTTGTTAAACCAGAACAACTAAAAATTTCTCATACATGTTACTATTAGCATATCTCATCTTTTAAATTTATAGTTGGCTTTATCTAAATTAAAAAATCCTCTATTTAGGTTATCTCTGCTCAATTTATTTTGCTTCATTTGTTTCATGACTGTAACTGGCTGAAAAATAATTTTAAACTTTGATTGTATCATGTTACATATTAAATATAGCTCTAGTTTCAGATTTGATAAGCATAATATTTATGAAAATGCTGAAGAACACTGGGCCAAGGCCAGAGCCATAGAGACCGCCTTCCTGGCTAACACAAATTCATCTGTCTTTGGGCGATTATTTATCTAGTCATGAACCCACCTAACTGCATTATTTTCCCACATTTTTCTCCATCTTATCCACAAAGACAATGTGAGGCACTTTATCTAGTGTCATGCTAAAGTCAAGAAACACAATGCATTTGTTTTCTCCTCGTGTACTGGTCTCTGTTGTTGTTGTATACCTAAAAAGGATGAAAGCTGATCTGAAACTGTTCTTTACGAATCCTACTGATCATGACCTTCTTTTAAAAATGTTTATAAAATTTCTGTTTAATAATATATATTTTTCCTCCTGCAAGTAGAATCATATTTACCAATACCAAAAAGGCTTTAAGGTCTAGAAAGTTCAAAAATACCATATGTTGAATATATACTGCTCTACTATTTATGACACTTAATGATTTACAGATCTAGTTAACTAAACTTACTATCAACATAATGTTATTATACATGGTTTGGATATGTGGTATACTAATGTGCAAACTAATGCCAAAAGATGTAATTTAAATTATCTTTGATATTTCTTTGGAACAATATATTCTCAAAATAAAGAAAATTTAGATATACAGTATTAAGAAAATAGTATTTCTCTCTATCCAAAAAAATAAAAGTATACATACTCATAAGTAAATATTCTCACCTTTAACTGCCAATCAAAATTCTGAAGCTGTGCAGAAGAAATATCAACTATTTCTCCTAACAGAGCCTGTCTGATATCATCTTTTCTACTTTTCAAGCATTTCATGATAGCTTCTTGATGAAATGAATTCAACTGATTCAACTGCTGAGATATCTATGAAAATAAAAATAAATGGTTAGAAAATAAGCAAAAGGAACTTTCTGTTTAAAATGTAAACACATACTTCCACTCTTCTTTCACATACCCCTTAAAAAGGGCAGTAAAAAAATAAAAAGAAATATTTCTATTAACTACAAAAAGAATAAAATGAGAATGCATAACCTGCAAACAAGAGATTTTTAACAAATTTCTAGAGAGCAGAGAATAAAGGAAAGAGCTGATTGATGAAGTAGCAAGGAAGCCACAGCCTGGAATATACCTGGAGAACACTAAAGCTGGTGAAGCTATATTAATATATCGATAATGTAGCTTTCAAGGCAAGAAATATTACAAGAAATAGAAAAAGATGGCAAAAGAGCTGCTCAACAGAAAGATACAGCAATCATAAATTTGTGTGTACCCAATGACCGTTTCAAAGTATATAAAGCAAACTTGGCAGAACTGAAAAGAGATGTTAACATACCTCTCAGTAAATTATGGAAGAAAAACAACAGAAAAATCAATAAAGATATAGAAGTGGAAAACACTATCATTCTATTTAACCTAATCAACATATAGAACACTGTTGTTATTGTTAGTTCCTGTTGAGTCAATTCTGACTCATGACAACCCCACGTATAGAGTAGAACTGGGCTCTGTGGTGTTTTCAAGGCTGTGACCTTTCAGAAGCAGATCGCCAGGCCTATCTTCTGAGGCATCTCTGAGAGGGTTCGAACTGCCAGCTTTTTGGCTAGCACTTAACCATTTGCAACACCCAGGGACTCCTACAGAACACTACACCCAACAATTGTAGAATACACATTATTTTCAAATGTATATGGAACATTCACCAATATGTAGCATACACTGAGCCATGTAGCAAGCCATGACAATTTTAAATCACTGAAATCATTTGGTTTATATTTTTTTTTGGCAACTGTGTAATTAAATCATAACTAGGTAACAAAAGAAAAAAAATCCAAATATTTAAAACATACTAAATAAATAAAAGCAACCTAGTAAAGTGAAAGACAAACATGCTCCATGACACTGCAACTTTATTTCAAGGTGTCTACCCTAGAAAAGGTGTCCAATGTATGCACAAGGAGACACATGTAAGAATGTTTGTAGCAGCACTATTCATTATAGTGAAAAAGAAGCAATAACCCAACTGTCCATCAGTAGGGGGAGAGATAAATCTTACAAAAAAATACTATAAGGGGTTAAAATACACGAACTGGATCTACATCTATTAACAAGAATAAATCCAAAACACAATGTTGCATGACAAAAACAATATGCAAATGTTATCATTTACACATCTAAACATCCCAAATAATTATGTATATTGTTTAAAGGTACAAACATACAGAACAGAACTGCCCCATAGGGTTTTCAAGGAGCGGCTGATGGATTCAAAATGTTGACCTTTAGGTTAGCAGCTGAGCCCTTAACCACTGCGCCACCAGGGCTCCCAGAATACAAAACATGCACACCAACTTCAGGAGAGTGGTGAACTCTGGGGGGAGGGTAGTAAGTGGGGGAAGGGTAGGAAGTATCTAGCTATACTGGTAATGCTTTATTTCTAAAAACAAATGAACAGATCTGAAATACATAATACAAATGTTAACAACAGTTTAATCGTGGTAATAAGAATGCAGGTATCTGTTATATTAATTTCTCTTATTTTCTGTATGCTTTAAATGTTGCACAATTTAAAAAAACACAACTCCCCCCTACCAAAAAAAAACTTAATTTCCACAGTTTTTCCATTTACTCAAAATTATTGAGGATTTGCTTATATAACATATACTTACGCATGATGACCCTTCTATAGTGTCTTAAAGACAAGCTTTATTTAAAAAAAAAAAAAAAAACTTAGCATGTGTTTATTATAAAGGATAGAAATTTGGAGTGAAGTTACCTCTTCATCAGATAAATTTTTACCCACTATAACTTTGAAAAATGTGGTAATATCTTCTAGAACGTGTATCCATTCTGTTGAATCCCAAACACTGTGATAATTCTGGTAGAGAGGATAAGCCCGGCCACAAATGCCATCAATTATTTTGTGAAGAAGCTAGAGGGGAAAAAGAAAATAAGCATAATTCTGATTATGAAACATATTTATATTCATTGTAGCAAACATGTTGTAGGGAGTTTATGTTATTTGCAACACCTAGATGTTGGGAGGCCTGGTGGTGCAGTGGTTAAGGGCTCAGGCTGCTAACCAAAAGGTCAGCAGTTAAATCTCCCAGCCACTCCTTGGAAACCCTACAGGGTAGTTCTACTCTGCCCTATAGGGTCCCTATGAGTTGGAATTGACTCAGTGGCAGCAGATTTGTTTTTTTTTTTTGGTGGGTGCACACGTCCCTCCCTCCAGTCTATATGGTTCCTATTCATCCTTGAACTCAGTCTTGAACACTGTTTGTGATCTGGAAAGATTTCCTTTGCCCTTCAAGTGTGGGTTGCTCTCCCTTCCACAAGTGGATTACAGTACAACTCAGTCTGGTTTCCTATTAGAAAGCAAGCTCCATCAGGGCTCAGGCTGTGCCTCACTCACCCCTTTACCTTATCCCATCAGGGCACTTAGCACTGTGTAGACTTCAATGAAAAGCTAGCTGAATGAATCAATCAAGCTTTAGACTTCAGTGAAAAGCTACCTGAACGAATCAATGAAGCTTTTTTTTTTTTTTTTTTGGATAATTACATATTTATTTTAAGAAATATTTCAGAGGCAAAAAAGTGTTACTAAACGGGCTCTGTTTGGAAATAGCGTTGGTGTATAATTACGTTACGACTCTCCTCCTGTAACTAACTGGTCCTAGTTTCTCTTCTTGAGGCTACTCTGTCTCCATGATAGGTCTTTAGAGATTAGAGATGGTTTCTGTTTCTTCTCTTGAAGAGGTAGCAGTTGCAGTTTTAGTCAGTATTGCAATTCAAGCATCTTATGTAAATATGTAGCTCTGTTCATTCTGGTTTTGAGACGGACAACGGGTGATAGCCTTAGAGCGCACTGACATTCTTAAGTCTTGTGTGTGGGGGCTAGGGTACAGGGTGGGGTTGGTGGGAGATGATGCAGAAAGGTAAATAAAGAAGGAAGGCAGAGGACAAATGGGAAATGTCCCGGATTCTTCTTTTCACCTTCTCTTGGGATGGTCCAAAGAGGAGGAGAAATCCAAGGTATCTGTCATTTGGTGCCATACCTGGGTGGCCCAGAATGAAGCTGTTTTTTCCAGATCCTCATAGGTTAGGTTGCTTCTTATCCTCAAGGTGTCCACGTACATGTCACCTTCTGAGGGAAGGGCCATCTTGCATCATCCTAATGAACGTCTCCCGGCTATGTTACTTTCTTCGTAGCACTTAACATTTTTTTTTCTGTCGCCTTCAAGGGAACAAGGCCTGCTTCTAAGTCACCATGGTATCCCCCGCACCTAGCACTGTGCCCGGTGTACAGCGAGCAATCGGGGCGTTTGTATCCAATGAATGAAACGTATACAACGAGGCTGCAAACCACGGACTCCGCATCTCAAGCTTTCAAAGAATAGATGGCGACTCTATTCTCCAGCCCAGGCTCACCAGGTCCCAGGCCCCGCGTGGGAGCGGGTGATCCGACTGCAACGGGATGCGGGCGCAGCCGGGACACCTCGCCCCGCAAAGTCGGGCCCCAGTGGCCTCGGCCTCCGCATCTCCACAGGGGAGGTAGGGGGCTGGCCACACGAAAGCACGCCCCTTCCGCCTTCCTTTCCTGGGGAGCCCGAGCGAGCCCCGCGAAGGGGGCACTGGGCCTGACCGGCACGCCAGGCCGCCCTAGACCCCCGGCGCCTCGCTGCCAACCGCGCCCCCCTCACCTGTGGGCCCAGGTCCGCCGGCAGCTTCTGCAGCCGCCACAAGGCCGTCCCCTCTTCCGGCTCCATCCCTGGTGCAAAGCTGGTCCTGGGTCACGTGACAAGGCCCTGTCTCTCCAGGTTAGCGACGGTTCGCCCACGTGACTTCTCTTTCGGGTAGGGCGGGGGCCAAGGGGAGGGGGAAGACGACGTAGAAGCCCTTGTGCGCTTGCGCAGGGTGGCAGCCAACCCTCTCCTTGTAACTGAGGAAAGTCTTTTTCCGCTTGGTGTGACATTGCTTAAACACTCTCAGATTATTAATTTTGAAGGCAAATTTGCAGATCTCTCAACGCAGTTTCCAAATTTCTGCCGAGTTCTATTGAACTTACTGAGAACTCTTTAGAAAACAGTCTAATAAGGCTTACCATATATTTGGGTGCGCTGGGGCCCTTGACCTGGCAGTTTAATATATGTCTTGTACTAAACTGTACTGTTTTGGAAGGTGAATTAAGGGTTTACCCTGTGTAATGCTGTTTATATGCATTATTCGCTATGAGTTGGAATCTACTCGATGGCAACGGGTTTGGTTTTTTTTGGTAAGAAGAAGGTACGATTTTCATCCTTATTTTGCAACTAACATATATGATCCCAGAAGTTATCAGGATTGTCACATTTAGCAAGTAAAAATTTTACAGCACCCCCAGTGAAATACAAAATTTCAGATATGTAACGAATAATTTGGTAGAAGAATGCCCTAAATATTGCATGGGGTATTGGTTGTTTACCTGAAATTCAAATTTAATTGGTGTCCTGTATTTCATCCCCTAAGAGCCACATGATGCCCAAACTAGTGACAGGCGCAGCCAGAAGTTGAACAGTCAGTCAGATTCTAGAGTCACATTCTTAATGTTGGACTAAACCTAAAACCCAAAGAGCCGTTCTGTGACCTCTCACCTGTTACAGGTATCACTTTAATCAGGTGCCATCCAGAAGTAGGAGACACAAACTGGAATCTAATATAACTTTACTAACCAAAGTAGTGTGAAGGATGAAGCAGACCACAGAGGAGAGAGTAATTATTTCAGTCTGGGCTATGCAGAGAAACACTGTTGTTGGTAGCATCCTTCCAGGTTTAGCTCAAATGTCCCTTCTCTACTCTGCGCCCTACCTCTTGGAAGTGAAAACAATTTCTTCCTCTTCTGAATTTTCATGGCACTTTAGTTGTCCCTCACTTACAGTATTTACCACTTCCTGGTCTTAAAATAGATGCCAAACCCAAACACTTGTCCTAGTTGATTGAGTTCTGACTTACAGCAACCCTAGAGGACAGAATAGAACTGCCCCATAGGGTTTCCAAGGCTGTAAATCTTTACGGAAGCAGACTGCCACATCTTTCCCCCTCGAAGCCACTGGTGTTTTTGAACCGCCAACCTTTTGGTTAGCAGTGGATTGCTTTACCCACTGAGCCACCAGGGCTTCTCTCCTGGAAAGATTACAGTCTAGGAAACCCTATGGGGAAGTTCTGCCCTGTCATATAGGGTCGCTATAAGTCAGAATCAATTTAACAATGCACAGCAACAACAAGGCCATGTAACAGATTAGTAAATAAGGCAGAATGGCACAGTGAGCCAGTGGCAGAGCGGTGGCACAGCAACCCTGGGTACCAAGAAGAATTTGGTCTTTCGCTTGGAATTTAAATGTAACAAAATTTAACTTATAACAAAATTTAACCTGTAACAAATACAGCTTCTGAAATAGTTCACACACACACAAAAAAAGAGCTTAATGTTTTCCTTTTGATTAGTAAGTAAATGTTCTTCTCTGTGTATTCTAGGAGGTTTTCAAAACATATTCCTGTCTTTTTGAGTCCCATCTCTGCTGTATGTGTTCTGGTCCCCCTCCTTTGGCTCTTTATTTGTGGTAGTGTTTAAAAACATGAACACTGGGGCTAAACTTCTTAGATTCAAACCCCAGCTCTGCAACTTACTATGCGTGTAATGTTGGCCAAGTTATTTCACTTCTTTGGTTCTGTAATTCACCTCTCTGATTGTGTAATTGGGTATAATGATAGCACCAAACTTACAAGGTTGTTGTAAGTTCATACATGGGAAGTTCTTGAAATGAAGCCTGGCACATAGAAAACAGTATTATATTCCTTTCTGCATGACCCACTTTCCTCTCCTGTTATTTGGCCAAAGGTTAGTAGGTTGCAGAAAGCAGGTGTCTCCTTATTTGCCCTTCTAGATGCAGTATTGGACGATCTCCACCATGGAAATGTGAGCTGCTTCTAAAACCCATCAAGGCTGGTATATAGTCCTGGTATAGGCAATGCAGATCAGTGATCATAGTTGGTAGAGATGTAAAAAGACCTCAGATAAACTCTAATGGGTTTTTTACTGTCCCTTCTCTACTCTGCGCCCTACCTCTTGGAAGTGAAAACAATTTCTTCCTCCTCTGAATTTTCAGAGTAGAGAATGGACATTTTTTGCACTGAAAATGGAGTTCATGCTGGCTGTTTGTGGAAGAGTTAATTTGGCGCTTCTTTCTGAGATCATTTTAATGGTTTTTTGTTTTGTTTTGAGGTGGAAGAAAGAAAAGGGAGTTTTGTGAACTATGTCTTGGGAGATTCATTCATTAATTCATTAACAATTATTGATTAAATACCTACAATATAGTAAGCACTCTAGTGGCTCTGGGGATACAAGCAGTGAACAAGAACTTAACTTCTAATGGTCGGCGGGGGGGGCTGAGTATCTCAGATAATAAACAAGTAAACAAGATAATGTCAGCTATTAAGAAGTGCCTTGAAGGAAATGAAACAGGATAATGGAATAGAGTGGTGGTAGAGGTGTATTTTAGATTGATCAAGGAGGGCCTTGCTGAGGAGTAGCATTTAAGCTGAGGCATAAAGGACTAGAAGAAAATACCAAAGCAAACATCTGGAGAAAGAGGGATGCTATCAGAATGCAGAGGCCCTGAGGCTGGAGAAAGCTTGGTTTATTCAAGATCATTGACCCAAGGCCTGTGTGACTAGACTGTAGTGAGTAAGGCAAGAGTGGTGGGAGATGATGTCAGGGACACAGGCAGGGATTTTAATCAGGGAATTGACATGGTCTGGTTTGCATTTTAAATGGTAATAGTCCGGAAAACAATATGCTGTCAAAAATAGATGGCCGGGTACAAGAGTGAGAAAGCAGGGGATCCAGTCTGGAACCTATTGTAGGATTTCAGGGACCTAGATGTTGGATGTAGCTGTGAATCCAGAGAGAAGTGGAAAGATTCAAAATGTGTAGAACTTAATGAAGGATCGGATGCTTGTGGGAAGGGAAAAAGAGGTAGAAGTAAAGTGCAGACTGTAGGAATCTGTCTTCTAAACCAGCCTGAGGTTTTAAGCCTTTACAGAGGGATAGAACCATAAACTATAGCTGCTGTGTTGGTGAAAGATGTTTCATGGTAGAGTGGTGTACAGGCTCTGGAGCTAGACAGACCTGGGTTCTAGTTATATCTCTGCCTCCTACCAACCATATGGCCTTGGGCAAGTCATGTAAACTCCCTATGCTTCTGTTTCCTCATCTATATATAGAGATAATAATACCACCTACCTCATCAAATGGTTGTGGAGGTCAAATAAAATAATGCATATAATGTGTTTGGCTTAGTGCATGGAATGTGGTTTACCCATAATAAAGATTACCTGTTCTTCTCAGCAGTAGTAGTAATACTTGGGGCACAAGTAGTGCCACTCTGGAGCCCAGAGGACAAAGTGAGACACATTCACACACCTAGACCACAGATTCAAAGCAGCCATGAGCAGCAGAAAGGTGAGTCTGTTAAGGCCCCATTGATAAGGAAAGCTAAGGAGAGAAATGGAGTGGATCCTTCACTGTGAATGCTCATACGTAACTGACTTGAGCAGGGATGGTGGTGGGGGTGGGGGGAGATGGAGGAAGGGCCTGTAATTATATAGACACAAGCTGATAGCCTTCTTAATATGTTCATTGTGGCAGAGACTGCCAGCTGCTTCCTCCTCCATAGTAATAAAATTTTTACCTGGCCACAAGTTTGTCAGAAAGAAGACTACATTTCTCAGCCTCCCTTGCATGTAAGTGTGTCCATGTAGCCAAGTTCTGGCCAATGGGATGAAAGTGGAAGTTTCATGCAGCACTTCCAGGCACTTGTTATTTAATAAATAATCCAAGTGTACCATTGACCTTTTTTGTTCCTGCCTCCATCCTACTTCCTAGAACTCAGATGATGACATTTTGGACCAGGAAGTCATGGATCAGGTTTAGAGAAGCAACAATGGAATCAAGATGCTTGACAATGTTGAGCATCGTGTCAGCCTGGGACCACCTACATGTGTATGCATGTGAAATAGAAATGCCTTTCTCTCTGGCTTAAGCCACTTTTTTTTTTTTTTAATGCCTTGATGTCCTAAGCACGTGCTTACCTTACTTATTGGATAATCTGTCCCTGGCTTACAGTCTCTGGTTTCAGTGATATCCTGTTACTTTGACAGTATGAGGTCTTTAAGTAGATGGTAAAATGGGAAGTTAAACATTGGAAAGTTGAGACTCACGATAGACATTTCTTGAGACCCTAATAAATACCCACTGTTATATTCCGGATCCCTGGTGGCGCAGTGGTTCTGTGTTCAGCTGCTAACTGAAAGGTTAGCGGTTTGAAGCTACCAGTCTCTCTGCAGGAAAAAGATATGGCAGTCTGCTTCCATAAAGATTTGCAGCCTTGGAAACCCTATAGAGCAGTTCTGCTCTGTCTTGTAGGGTTGCTATGAATCGGAATTGACTTGATGGCAACTTTTTTTTTTTTTTATGGTTTATATTCAGCACTTTCAAATATTTCAGCTGATGAAACCTGTACAGTGGGGTACATATAGGCCTCAATTAACTAATGAGTAAATGGAGACTAATGTAAGTGGTTTTTCTCAATGCCACTCAAGTAATAAGTAGCAGAGGTGGAATTTCAAACCCAACATTCGCATTCTAAATCCAAGCGCCTCTCACCTGTAGCCAGGCTTCCAACCCTAGTTCAGGGCTTAAATTGATGTAAGAAAGTAAATACAGGTACTTCCATCATCCTGAAAG